GGAGGGCCCCCAAAAAAAGTTTTGGGGGTTAGGTGTCGGAAAAATATTTTTTTGTGCGCCCTTGCCGTTCCGTGAAAAAAAGCGTTTTTTTTTCGTTGCGTAAACAACAACCCTTACGGACGGCGAAAATCGAGCGGAAATCGACCTCCACGTCACCGCACGGCAGAACAACATCGAATAGACTCGGAACGTCTCAGAACCTCCCAAAACCGTATCCATGACATCTTTCCTATCCATGGCTGCCGACTGCGGACCGACCACGGAGGAACATGTCAGACACATGCCAGACCCCTTCGGTACCGGCACGGGAAGATACCAGGCACGGGAAGATACCCGCGGCAAGCCCGGCAAGCAGCGCTCTAACGGCACGCTGTTAAGGAGGACCCGATTCGCAGGGTATCCGTCGATTGACTTTTACCAGAATCGGTACACCTTCGCACATGGCGTCAGCTGGATACTGGTTCGAATCTCCTTGGGTGCACGTTTTTTCTCCTGACTTACTTGGACATTTTCCCATGGACACCATGTATGTGTGTCAGTCCTGAGAACACCTCTTGGAATCGATCCTATAAAGAACCTTGTGACACTTCCATCGAATTACCCGTCCTGGCCACAAGAGGTTCCCAGTTGAGGGTAAATTCTGTGGGTGGAGAGTGAGTGTTAAGGAGGACCCGATTCGCAGGGTAACCGTCGATTGACTTTTACCAGAATCGGTACACCTTCGCACATGGCGTCAGCTGGATACTGGTTCGAATCTCCTTGGGTGCACGTTTTTTCTCCTGACTTGGACATTTTCCCCTGGACACCATGTATGTGTGTCAGTCCTGAGAACACCTCTTGGAATCGATCCTATAAAAAACCTTGTGACACTTCCATCGAATTACCCGTCCTGGCCACAAGAGGTTCCCAGTTGAGGGTAAATTCTGTGGGTGGAGAGTGTTAAGGAGGACCCGATTCGCAGGGTATCCGTCGATTGACTTTTACCAGAATCGGTACACCTTCGCAACGCCACAAATAAATGCGTGACACACAACGGACAACACAACCAACGGTTCGCGCATACAGAACAAAAAGACGCGCAAACAGCAACAACACACACACACACACACACACCAACCACCACGACGAGTGCACACCGACTCGTCACGGCAGCAGTCGGCTTGCCGCGAGTATCTTCCCGTGCCTGGTATCTTCCCGTGCTGGTACCGAAGGGGTCTGGCATGTTTCTTACATGTTCCTCCGTGGTCGGTCCGCAGTCGGCAGCCATGGATAAGAAAGATGCCATGGATACGGTTTTGGGAGGTTCTGAGACGTTCCGAGTCTATTCGATGTTCTGCCGTGCGGTGACGTGGAGGTCGATTTCCGCTCGATTTTCGTCGTCCGTAATAAGTGGACAAAAGTGGGTACAATTTATTTGGACAAAAGTGGGTCAAAATACAGACAGACACAAGCAAGTGGGTACATGAAAAAATTCGTTGACGCCGGTGGGTATACCCACCGCGATGTCGGACATAAGTGGGCACTCTGGTGAGGCCTTGCGCGCATCGGCGGTATTAGGGCCAAAGGTGTGCCTAAAAGTGGGAAAAAACTCGTTGCCCGTGCTGCTGTGTATGGTCCCTGGCTGTCTGTGTCGACCAGATGTCAGAATGTGGAAGGTTGTGTTGTACAACAACCTGGTGTTTTGTCAGAACGGTTATAAAGATCAAAGGGGGCACCGTAGGTAAGAGAGAATTGATAGATATAGGTAGGCATGCACGGAAAGAAAAGAAAAAGAAAGAGATGCACCTTGCTCACAACAGAAGAACCATCTGAACGAAAGAGCAAGACAACAAACAAACAAGAGGAGGAGTAGAAGAGAGACAGAGGAGGAAGAAGAAGGAAGCGAGCGTACGGAAGGGAGGAGACAGACAGAGAAAGAGAGCAAGAGCATAATCAGTTCGTGTTTTTGTCAACGTCGGCCGACCCGGTGCTTGAGCGCGGGGGCCGGGATCCTGCTGCCGAGCGCGGGGTCCCATGCCGAATACGGTAAGGCTTGGGACGTTGACACCGATGCGGCGCCGCGACGAGGAGGAGGAAGAGCAAGGCGGATGGCGGGGCCAAGGAAGGGGAGAGGATGGGAGCTCGCTTTCGTTTTTTTTTTTTTTTTTTCAACGTCGGCCGACCCGGCGCTTGAGTGCGGGGGCCGGGATCCTGCTGCCGAGCGCGGGGTCCCATGCCGAATACGGTAAGGCTTGGGACGTTGACACCGATGCGGCGCCGCGACGAGGAGGAGGAAGAGCAAGGCGGATGGCGGGGCCAAGGAAGGGGAGAGGATGGGGGCTCGCCGCAGAGGGGCGGAGGTGAGAGGAGGAGGTCGTTGAGCCAGGACGATGCGATTAGTGTGTGGAAGTGCAGCGGGAAGACAAGGGGGAGCGGTGTCTGGAGTTGACGAAGGGGCTTGCGTCCACTCACCATGTATTATTAGGGGAGAGGGATGAGCAGGAGGAGCCAGTACTGCCCGCAAAAAAAAAAAGATGACAGACTGGAGGACGGAACATGTGGTATATGGGTGGTTGGTGGATACCGAAGCAGGAACGATTTTATTGCCGGAACAGAAAGTGCAGGATTTGAGAGAGAGGTTAGCGGAATGGCCAGAGCACAGGAAGCAGGCTACCGTGCGCGAGGTATTGGTGGTGGCAGGTAAGATGCACCACGCGGCCTTCGTTATCAGGCCCGGCCGTTACTTCGTACACAGGCTTCTGCAGCTTGCCGGGCTGCATCTAAATGGGGTGGAACGGGCCGGAGGGGGGGACGCGTGGGGCAGACATAGGAAGAAGGCGCAAGCACGCAAGGTTGTGGAGCTGACATGGGAGTTTAGGGCAGAGGTGGGGTGGTGGCGGTGGTATCTAGGGGGAGGGGCGGGGGAGGTGGGCAGTAAGATAACGGCGGCGTCGTCCAGCTCTGCCAAGCAAGTTCCTTCGAGGAGCTGGTTGTCGGATGCATCAACGAGAGCGTTGGGGGGGCGTTTGCATGGAAACGAGGGTGTTCTGGAGGTGCAGGAGCTGAAGGCCGAGGAGCAGCAGCTATGTGCAGAGATTTTGCGCGAAGCTACGCACTTGGAAGAGTTGCAGCATCGACTAGAAAAACTTACACGGGGGCTTGGAACATGTGGATAAAGTGGAGGGAACGAGTGCAGAAGAGCCCATGGATTGCGAAGGGGTCGGAGGAAGGGGAGATAGTGGAGGAGCTGGCGGAGTACATGGCTTACTACTGTAGTGCGTTCCTAGGAAATAGGGATTCGACGATAATGGGGAAGCTCGTGGCGGTAAATTTTTATCATCAACAGTTTCAGAACATGTCTTTGCCGTTGAGCAACCCGTACATCAAAGGGGTAGCGCAAGGTATTAAGAGAGGGCACGTGGAGAAAGGCACACAAGCAAGAGTGAGGATACCTCTGACATGGGGAATGTTGAGTGCAATGCAGCAGAGTGTTGGCGGTGAGGGTGCAGGGGGAAGAGTGCTATGGATCGGATTGGCCTTGACATATCTGCTGATGTTGAGGGCGTCAGAGTTGTTTGCAGAAACGGATGGGAAAATAATCCACGAAGTGTACTGCCTGTGCAGGGGGGATGTGGCATTTTTCGAGGGCGATAAGCAGCTGGAAAGACCGGAGAGGTTAAGGGCAGATAAGATAGAAGTGCAGATGAGAGGCTCGAAGGGAGATCAAGGGAGGAAGGGAGCGGTGATGGTCAGGGAGAGGGGGAGGGCGAATGGAGCGGTGGAATTGATGCTGGAGCTATTCGGGATTTATGGAAGTGAAGGATTAAGTGCAACGGCACCATTGATGGTACACAGAAGGGAAGGGAAGTGGGAGGTATGGCAGAGAAGGAAGGCGACAGAACAGATGAGGAAGGGGATAAGAGCGGTGTCAAAGAAGAAGTGGTCGAAGGAAGGGAAAGGGGCAGGGGCGAACCTAATACCGGAAGAGTTCGCGTTACTTTTGGGAAGGATAGGTGGGGCGACGAGGCGGGCCGCGAAAGGGGTACCAGAGGCTGTGATAAAGAAGCAAGGGAGGAGGTGGTCGTCGAACGCATTCATGGCATACGTAAGGGCGAATATGCAAGAACCAGCATGGGTGTCGGCGGTGTTGGAAGAAGGGGAAGGGGTATTGGAGAGACAGCCGGGGCAAGGGACGGAAGGGGGAAGAAATCAGGAAAAGGGATTCAGAAGTAATATAAGAAGAACAAGACTTCGTGATGGGGAGAGGTTTGTGTCCAAGCTGGGCGACCAGCGGAATGTGGTCAGTCAGCCTGGTTCTTATTACTTAAGGAAGCGTGTGGATTCCTTAGTAGGCTTAAGGGCCGGGAGGGAGGGAGAGAGTTCTACCTCCAAGACCCGGCCTTTGCGCGGCGACACAATAATAAAAATGGCATTTTTCGGGAAGTGAGAGACAAAAGGAAGGGAGGTTTTGAGTCGTTTGGGGGTCGCCTATGGAGTGCGCGCGCGCTGGATTTTCGAGTACCCACTTTTGTCCGAGAAAGGAAGGGGTGGGTATACCCACTTGTGTCTATTTCCCTAGTCTATAACTGAACTCTGTAGATCATAGTAAGCAGTGAACTTTGTTTGGAAGAAGAAGAGATGATGAACAGAATGATGATGAACAGAAGAAGAAGAAGAAGAAGAATCAATCGTGGCTCGCTCGTGGCTGAGCGTGATGGGGAACTTCTGGAACTTAGAAATGCTACATACAGCGGACCCGGCATTTAAAATACATCCGAAATGTTAACGGTAGGGGTATGTCGGCCAGCTCGTGTACGTTCAACTGCTGCTGTGGCTGGCTGTGGGGAGACAACGCCACAAGACGCGTACATAATAATATGTACCATATTTATTTTTGTACGATTTTTTTTGTTTGTGTTCTTCACTTCAAATCAGCGCTCACAGCACTAGTGCCGTTTATTCCAACCCGTGGGCACACAGAAGAGCCTCTCTCTACCCTCCCCTCCTGCGGTACTTCGCCTTCGATTTTTAATGCGAGAAGAGTTCAGCACTCTCTTCCCTCTGTGTACACACGAACTAGCGCTATCCACTTGACCAGGAGCGGAAGCGAGAGAAAAACTCACTTTGCAAGAAAAGCTCGCCTACGCCGGGATTCGAACCCCTGACCTGACCTAGAAGGTTACGAGGCTACCAACTAGTCTAGACCACCGGGGCGACCGGCTTCAATATGCGCGCTAGAGAATGAGAGAGAGTCGTGGGAGGGCGACATGCTGAGAATTGGCGGAGAGGTTTGAGCGAGCTAGAAACTGCTGTCTGTGTGTGACACTACGCTGTGCGATGAGATGCTGTGTGATGCTGATTTGCCGGCCCTGCTCTCAGCTTTTCACCTAGATGCGTGGTGACTACATGATGGGAATGCATGATGACGTCATTAATGCAGAACGCGCTATTTTGAAGAAAAAAAAATCTGGACATTGGACCCTCCGGGCCGGACCTACCTACGAGACCAACGAGAACCAAACAATATGCCAGCGGTCCAGCGCGTGTACGTAGCTCTCGACACAGCTTATGTTTTTCGCGTGGCGCGAGACGCTTGGTTGGGTCGCTCCCGCTGCATTTAATTCCCGTCTGGAACAGGCAGAAGCAAATCCTACAGGAGGTGAGGTATAGATGTGAGGTCTATTTATTTACACTTTTTAGGACTAACCGATGTTGTTGTACTTTACAAGGCTAGGTTCCTCACGCAAGCAAGGCTAGGTTCCTCACCCCACATCTACCCTAAGCCTTACCCTAACCCTCTCCCTCACCCACGGCCAAAGCACGGCCTAGCGGCCGCGAACTGGTCAAAAACGCGGCTGCGTCGCGTTCTCGGAATGAATGCGGAACGGCGAGAGGGCGCTGGAGAGGGTCAAGGCTAGGAACCAACGCCGGACCAATCAAAGGGCGTGAGACCGTTTAGATGGGAAGAGTCACGAATAGGTTGGAAAAATTGCTGATACAGATGAATTTTACAATGTTATTCCTAATATGTCTAATAAACCACCAAGCTGTCAATAGACACTGCGCCGTGTCCCCTGTGAAGGTTACAATTTACAATACACGGCACAACGGAGGGTTTCTCCCCGATATTTTGCCGTTGACCCAGTAGAGAACTACAGGGGATGTATTGTAAAACGTAAGTTACCTATACAGATGTTTTTGTACTTAGCACCAGCTGGCATCACTGGTATAAATCATCAGTGTATAGACTTAAAAAGACTCGAAATAAGTCCAGTACCCAGCCGGTTTCCCTCCACTCACTGAAAAGACTCCACCACATCCCGTTCGACTGTGGGTATATCTCGGATGGGTAGTCTTTCTGTGTGTGTTTTTATTATTCCTTAATTTAGATGGATTCTCAAAACAGGAAATGAAGAAAGAGGCACGATTTAAGAATTCTCCAGACGTAAAGATCCAGAACAAAGGAGGAGGAAGAACACACTCTCACTTCCTTTTGTCAAACCTGTGCAAGACAGGAAAACAGAGGAAAGGAGAGTCTCCTTTTTGAGACGCTCATCATCCGTCCGCGCCCTCCGCTCTCCTCGAGCGGCGACCGCGACCGTCCGTCCCTCTGGGATTAGTTCCTTTCCCCTGTTTGTGTTTCTCTTCTTCCCGGTTCATCATGGCAACGGTGCCGAGTTTCCAGCTAGATGCCCTCCACGCGCCAGGACCCGAGGCAGTCATCGAGCAGTTATACGACCTCTGCGCGCCGAAGAGTGGCAACGGCGGTGAGCGGGTCATGGACCTGACCCGCCTGGGCGTGCTACCGCACGGACGGCAGCTGGAAACAGCCTCCCTAGACGACCTGTGCCGGATCTTCGGCGCTTTGGTCGACGCCGGCTCAGCCAGCGACAAGCCTGGCATGATGGCGGTCGGCCTTCCCGCGCGTGGGAATGCCGACTCCGTGGCCGTGGGCGACGCCCGCATGAAGGCGGCCCTAGCCCAGGCCCTCCTCCAGTACCTGTGGCGCTGCGACCACCACGGCGGTCTCCGGCTATCGGCGACCGCGGTTCTTCTCCCGGCTCCTCCCACCTTGGCGACCGCACCTTCAGCAGCAGAAGGAGCACCCTCTTCCGCCCCTTCAGCAAGGGCCGGCAGCACACCCTCTTCCCCTTCCTCTGCATCCACGTCGGCTGCGGCGGCAGCGGCTGCCTCGCCGTCTTCCCCCGCCACTACCGCGGGCGAGGCTACCGCGGGCAAGCGCCTCCGGTCGGAGATCTCTGGAGCCGTGGCGGACCTGGAGGAGGAGAGTGTGGCCGGGGATCGCGAGCCTCGAGTGAAGAAGAAGTCGCTCGTGTACACCACAATTTCCAGCAAGGTGAGTCTTGTAGACATTATATGGTTCTTGCTCGTTTTCGGCCGGCCCACGTCCCACAGCAGTCGTCGTCTCTCCCCGTCCCTCATGGATTTCTGCACTGCAGCATTCGTTCGTCGTGCTCTCTCTCAGCATTCCCTGCCGTCATTTTCTTCGACGCAGGCCATAGCTGGCTGCCCGTGGGTTTCATCACGTGGTGCTTACAATATGAGTGGATTTTCCTTTCGGGAACGCCCGCTCGACATATATTTGTTCGTTTTCAACATCCTCTCTTTTTCTTCTCCTCACGGCGCCCGCCTCTTGCCGGTGTGCTCTTGCTTAGGAGATACTGCTGTGTAGCCGTACGTAGGGACGTGGGTCGCCATCTAGTTTCTGTCTCTATGGTAGGTGGTAGGTGTCTATGGTAGGTGTCTTTCTTTTGGGCTATCCGTGAGCGGCGTCACACGCTCGGATTTGTAAAATTGCTTGTTCGTCGCGCACTTGCACCCGTCATTTCTACAACCTACTTGAAACTTACACCCACAACATCTATTGGGTGAGGGCATGCCGCCTCCGCGCGCTAGCCCCTTTTCGTTTCTCTTCTCCCCTGCTATACATCACGTTTCATTTTCGTTTGTGAGGGACTCTTTCGGTTGCTCTCTCCGTGGCATCTCTTTCTGTCAACATGTCGACTTTGGCAGAACAATATGTAAATATATAATATATTATTATATATGTATATTTATATATTTAATATTTCTATGCATATTATTGTATATTGATATATATACATATTGTTCTTCAAAGCCTATATATATCTTGTTCTTCAAAGTAGCCGACATCTCTCTCTCTCTATAAATATATTGGCTACCCCCTTTTCGTTTCTCTTCTCCCCTGCTATACATCACGTTTCATTTTCGTTTGTGAGGGACTCTTTCGGTTGCTCTCTCCGTGGCATCTCTTTCTGTCAACATGTCGACTTTGGCAGAACAATATGTAAATATATAATATATTATTATGCATGTATATTTATATATTTAATATTTCTATGCATATTATTATATATTGATATATATACATATTGTTCTTCAAAGCCTATATATATCTTGTTCTTCAAGAAGCCGACATCTCTCTCTCTCTATAAATATATTTCTCCTTGTGCGATCCGTTCGGAGGCAGTTTCAGGTACCGCCTCTCGCCACCTGCTGGGCCCGCAGGGCGAAGAAAGCGGGATGTACCACTTTGTTTTAGAAAGCGCTACGGGCGCCGCATGGCAGCCATCCTGTTTGGAACATGTTTCCACTGTCGTAGGTCCGGCGTTTTCTTTCCCTCACCGTTTTCACCTCGATTTGGTTGTCTCGGCCCGTCTTTTCCTACGCGTTTCTCCGCTATCTCAGCTACCCATCTCTCATGGTTTTTTCTCACTCTCACCGTTTTTCGGCTCGGTTTTCTCAAGCGTTTCTCCGCTTCAGTTCGGTTTTTTCTCAAGCGATTCTCCGCTATCTCAGCTACCCATCTCTCGGGTTTTTCTCTCTCTCACCGTTTTTCAGCTCGGTTTTCTCAAGCGTTTCTCCGCTATCTCAGCTAACCCATGTCTCAGGGTGTTTTCTTTCCTTCACCGTTTCTCAACTCGGTTTCTCAAGCGATTCTCCGCTATCTCAGCTACCCATCTCTCGGGTTTTTTCTCCCTCTCACCGTTTTTCAGCTCGGTTTTCTCAAGCGTTTCTCCACTATCTCAGCTACCCGTGTCTCAGGGTTTTTTCTTTCCTTCGCCGTTTTTCAGCTCGGTTTCTCAAGCGATTCTCCGCTATCTCCGCTGCCCATCTCTCGGGTTTTTTCTCCCTCTCACCGTTTTCTCCGCTATCTCAGCTACCCATTTCGCGGGTTTTGTCTTTCTTTCACCGTTTTTCAGCTCGGTTTTCTCACGCGTTTCTCTGCTATCTCAGCTACCCTCCTCTCGGGTGTTTTTTCTTTCTTTCACCGTTTCTCAACTCGGTTTCTCTCAAACGTTTCTCCGCTATCTCCGCTACCCTCTCTCAATTTTTCTTTCTTTCGCCGTATTTCAACTCGGTTTCTCTCCAGTCTCCACTGTTTCACATTTTCCACTCGGTTTCTCGAGCGTTTTCTCCGCTATTTTCTGACGTTTCTCCGCTATCTCCGGTTTTCAGCTCGGTTTCTTTTCTCGAGCGTTTTCTCCGCTATCTCAAATGTTTCAAGTGGATTTTTTCTCAACCGTTTCTCCGTTGTGTCAGCTATCCCTCTCTCAGGGTTGTTTCTTTCACCGTTTTCAGCTCGGTTTTATCCGGCGTTTTTCTTCGCGTGTCTGGTTCCGATGTGCTTTACCCGTCTCTCCGGGTATCTCTTCTCGCCGTCTCTTTCCACTCGGTTTTTCTCAAGCGTTTCTCTGCTATCTCGCCCTTTCCGCGGCTTTCTTTTTTCGCAATTCTTCCCTTTTAGTTCGCAGCCCTGTGGACGGGTTTGCTTACCAGTGTAAGCGGGCTCACGACTTTCGACGCCTCCGTCAAGCACCAGCGGGTGCTAGAGATCAAAACCAAGGTCCAGGAGCTAGCTAGGCTAGCGGCTATGGACCCCGAGCTGACGGACGAACGCACGTTTGTCGACACGCTCGCCGTGGGTATTGATGCGGCGATGCAATGCGGCCGCCCGGATGCGGCCGCGGTATGGGTACATGACAAACTCATGTCCCAAACCGAGGAGGGTCGTAAAACAGATCGTGGCCAGGTGGTAAAAGAGCTGTCGGCCATCACCAAGTTTCTGGGGGGGCCCAAGCATTCCTCAGCTCCAGCCGGACCTTGGAGCCCACCCCCCATGCAGCCCATGGCCCTTACCCCGCATTTTGGGGGATATAGCCCCTATGGTATGCAGCCACAGGGGGGGCACTATACCCCGAGCCGGGGACCCGGGGGGCGACACAGGGCCTCTGGCGGCCGCAGTAGCCGAGGGGGTGGCAGCGGGTTTAGCAGACAGACCGCTTTGTGCAACACTTGCCGCCGTGCCGGCAAGACCGGGGCAGATATCGAACACTCGTTCCGTGTCTGCCCCTTTGTCCAATGCCATAAGTGCCATGGTCGGGGACACGTAATTCAGAATTGCCCCAACTAAATAGTTAGTGATTCGCTGAGCGGTACGCGTTTCTCGTCTGTTGGTTTCCCGGTTCTCGTCGTTCGGGGGGCATCTGGATGTTCAGCGACACGGGACATGTTTCTCTCGTTTCTGCCAAGTTTTCGCGTTCAGTGGGTTTTCGGCCGTTTTTCGGTTTTTCGCCTCGGAGTTTCCTTCATTGGTGAAAGTTCGTTATCTATTGGTTCAATCCACCTTTCTTTCTTTCAGCTCGAGGTTCATAAGGGTTTTCTCAGCCCGATATGATAGCCTTTCCTTTTCGAATGCACGCTCCCACCCACGCATCATGCGCGTCGGAGGACGCGTCGCCCGACCACGTATTTCCGGTCCGATGGGCACCATGTGGACTCACCAATTTCACCGTCCTGACTGATATACTCTGTAACGATTCTCACATTTCGTCACGTGATCCCACATTACCTCCTGAAATTACTGGTCATATACATCTTTCTCGAGCACTCTCCCACGCCTCTGCACCTTTCCCTTTCTTGGTTTGGACTTTGGTCGGCGGTTGACGCGCGGATCGATTCATGTAGATTTACACTGAAATCATCCTTAAACCTAGGTGAACGAAATTTCCACTTTGCGTGCTACTCTCCCCTAGCATATGCGACATAAGTCACACACGTGCAGCCAACAACATACGTTGGTTATGGCAAAACAAGCCCAGTTTTCCGACATCAGAGATTTTCTTCTACACATTTCATGCGTGTCACCGGTCGGATCGGGAGCAGCCTTGTTCCTCGCCGAGAGAGCCGCACGTACCGCACACATTCGCACACAGTTAGTGGGCGGGGACCTGATCAGTGCATCAGCGAAACAGTCAACCGTCGACCTCTCTAATATTCGGCGCCTTCAACAATCTCACTGCCTACCAGACCAAGCTAGGATGTGGGTGACGGACGATTTCGTTCCGGCTCACTTGCAAACAGCGACTGAGTTCTGGCGGGACGAAATTTTACAGGATACTCCCGTTGGAGATCGCAATACCCTCTTGGGGTGGGTCAAAGGGGTCAACGTTTACGACTTCGTAGACACAAAGGCAACAGGCATTTTTCACGGTGCTTCGTACAACGGCGCTGACCTTACGTCAATACATCTGCCGAACCACGTTCCCGACGAACATGTATCATGGGTCACGAGCGAAGTCGCTAAGCTCGCAGCGACAGGTTGCGTTGCGAGATGGAAGGACGTCGCCGACGTTAGCGTATACGCCAAACCGCAAATGGTGCTCCCGTTGGGTGTGGAGCCCACGAAACCCAGGTTGATATGGGACGCACGGTGGCTTAATCTCATGTGCCGCCACCACCCTTTCAGCATGGATGGCGTAGGCAAGGTAGCTCAGTGCGCATGGCCCGGAGCTCATCAAGTCACTATTGATCATAAGGCTGGATACCACCACGTTGCCCTAGATAAGGGTTCTTGGCAATATTTTGGCTTCGAGTGGGAAGGCGAGCTGTACGTGTTTACCGTGCTTGCTTTCGGGTGGTGTTCAGCCCCGTTCATATACGCTTCTCTTTCAGAGGCAGTCGCTCGATACCTGCGAGCAAGAGACATTCCCGTGCTAACATGGATAGACGATTTCTATTTGACCAATTTTCGATCCACCCGCACGCTCCGCTATGACGAGCAGCTCAAAGCAGCTCAGACGACCGCGTATGTCGCACTAGAAGTTCTCTATCGCGCGGGATACTTCATTTCGCTGAAGAAGTGTGAGCTCATCCCTACGACGAGCTTGGTTTTCCTGGGGATTATCTGTGACTCCGATAACAGGCGTTTCGAGGTCCCAGAGGACAAACTCGCCAAGCTCGAGGCGATTCTAGTCGACGCTATTGCGTCGGAGTCCATCACCTTTCAGATGTTAGAGAAGCTCGCAGGCAAGT